TGTGTCGGTATCAAATGATTGCCGTAAAGTAGCAAATTGATGTGTTACTGATCTACTATTTGCTCGTATAGATATAACAGTGTCAGTGATTTCAATACCTATATAACATCCTTCTGAGGCAACAAAAGTTAGGGGCATTATAGCTTAGATTTATTTTAGACTTTTTTGGTTTATTATCCGGAATAAAAAGTAGCCTATATTATTCTCTATATTATACATATTGTAATATGTACCTAAATTTATAGTGATTGTTTAATCCGTTAAGACGCCAAAAGGTAATAAATAAATACAGTTTCACATTTATGATATTAGTAAGGAAATAAGTATTATGTATGATGCAAGCCCTTTTTCAAACTTTATACGTAAATAAATATTGTTGCGTTATTTTCTAAAAAATCTCCTTAAACATTTGTTATCCTGTTTTTTATGATTAAGTGATGGAAATCGTTACCGTATTTAGTCTAACAATATTTGTTTGATGTAGGAATACTGAATTATAAAATATGCAATCCCAGTTTGATGTAGCACAAAATCGTTCAGATAGGTCGCTGTGGATTTATCTGTACCAAAGATGAATTTTAAATAGAGTGTAAAAAATCCAATTTGTTTTTTTCGCATCTATTGCCTTGTATTCATGCATCCTTGGTTAACTCGCTTCTTGTTTATCTCTAATAATATAAATATTATAAAAATGACATAACAGAAGCAATATATATCTTAATATATCTTATAAACACGGTTTGCGTAATACATTGAGAAAACTGGGGCGGCCTTGGCCATGTACGTAGTACTAAAATAAACGCACATAGCCGTTTACTCTACGTCTAAGATTTATGAGAATTTGATAAGTAATTATTTATAAGTTTGTTCTTTGGTTTAAGAATTATGACAGGGGCTTATTATATTGTTGAAATTATCGGAAGGTTTCGATTGCTAATTATATAACACTAATCGCCGAAATCTGAATTTAACGTACTTGTTTTTAAGGTTAATCAGCGCTAAATGTACATGAGTCTGTAAGTAGTGACATTTCACATTGTAATTACGTACACTAGGATAAATCCGCCGACGGGCACTAGACAAGATGAAGCACTGTTGACGTCATGGTAGTAATTAGATGCCGCCATTTAGTGCCTTCTCGTACGTTCTGTTGCAGACAGAACTCGTCGCAGTCGTGTAGGTAAAGTTGGTAATAAAAGTAGTTGGGCACAACAATTTTCGCATTTATTACAACTTAGTAGAGTTCATGAGTGCAAATTAAGTTATATCTGTTCGTTGATCACTGTAACACGTACAAATTTCGTATTTTGCGTATATCTTAGCTTTCTCGTCACGAAGGTTGCCGACCTTGTTTTGTGGAGACCTACTGAATTAATTAATAAAGAAAGCCGTTATTATCTCCTTAGAACTTTATGGGGTCTAGTAAAAGTACTTTCGTATCCTTGCGTTAAGCGTGTATCATTTATTTGAATTATGTAGGCTGCGTCTTGAGCCTGATTTGCTAAAATAATATAAACAAAAATGCTGTCTTGCCACTGTAAAATATTAATGTTTTATACTTTTAATTCCTTATATACTTAATTTTCCAGTTCAAATTATACACCTCTCGATAAAATAAGTTTTTACTCATATGTGTTTGTAGCTATGCCTATGACTCCATTCACGTGACCAGGATACAAACGGACTTAATAAAGTTGGTCTGAATCCTAAATAACGTTTACGTCAAATTTAGAAATGATTTGTTATATAGTTAAGGCAACAAGAGATAACAAACGAACAAATGAACAATAGACAAACATACATTAACATTTATAATATATAAGGATATGTAGTTATAATTAAACTCGATACAAAACTAGATTTATATTTAAATACAAATACTCGTAGATGTGATACGTCTGCCAAATGGCCACGCAAGCCAATGTCGCTGGAATAATGAACACGATACATTATTTAGTTCATTTGAAACGATATTAATAATTTGTCTTTCAATATTATGTAATGTTTCATTATATCGTGTAATGTAATTTTAAGATAGCTTTTGCTAAAGACGTGTTTTAAGGAAAATCACCAAATTATATCTACTACTTATTTTGGAATATATCAAATATTTTATTAAAAAAATCTTAAGAATTGTGATTTTTTTGTGTTATCTACGGCAATGTAAATAAATGCAATATTATTTCTATATATGACTAAAATTTTGATTGTTTTATATGAACTATAGATTATTTCTGAGAAGATAATAAATATCATTCAAGTTTACATAACCCTTCCCCCTACGGGACTAAAATACTAATAATTTGAGAGAGACAAGATATGTAATGAACAAATCTAGCACATTGAAATAGAGCCAGGCAAATTGAAGTTTAACGGCTTTTGTTTTTCACTGAAGAGCCGACATGTGTGAATAGCGAGCAACCAGTCTAGCCGCTAGGCAGACGAGTTTGTATACCGAAATATTACGGTTCTTGAATGGTTTTATAAGAAATATTATATTGCGGATATGTGAATATTTTTTGCATACCTTTCTAGTGTATTAATGGGCTAATATTGCTACATTGTTGTGTACTTTATTGCTTTTGTATATTTTAATATACATATAAGTTACATAACTACGAAGTACTATTTGTTTATATTGTAATAAATATCTGACGGCCTGATAAATACAATAAAAAATGGAGTGCGATTGTATACTATATGTGGTGAAATATGAACCAACGATATACGAACATCTATTAATTTATTTATTCCCATTGTGTTAAAAAATTCCCTTCTTTTTTACTTTTCTTTTTCTTCGTTTGCACAATTAAATATTTCATGTCTTTTGTTTTTCATTCCCTTTTGAATTTAATTCCGAAATTTAAATTTAAATTATTCGTACTATTTTATTTTTATTTTCAATTATTTCCTAAATTAAGTTTAAATGAATGTAAACTATGCATTTACTTACATTCTGTATATAGATAGCAATTCTTCCCTGTTATCTATAAAGTTATCATATTTTTATTACAAATATACCGTGACTTATCACCTCATTATTATCTATGTTGCCTGAATCACTAGATAATGAAATCAAGAATTAGTCAGTATGAAACGGTTTACAGTAAATGCAATACAATAATTTTAAAATTGAATTATTGAATTAAACAATGGCTTCGGACGACGGAGTGCCAAATACGCGTTTGCTTATAAAACTGTTCGAGAAACGTGCAAATCTTGAAGATGGAGACGACGCGGAGGATTCAAATCAGTGTGAAAGCATATCTGCCGTAAATGAGGACGTGGTGCTAGAAAATATCACATCTGAAGAAGAAATAAATGTGATGGTTTCGAATGAAAATGGCAATAGTGAAGAATTATCAGATGAAGTAACGAGTGAAGCAGTGGTCTCAAATGAAGATATTGTGAATGCATCCGATAATAGTGAGTCACCGAGAATTATTAATACGATATGCGAAAATGTAGAAGTAATGTAGTAGTATAAAAAAAATACTTATATTAGTATGGATTACATATCAGTTTTTTGTATGCTCTCACTTTAATATGAAATTATGACAAGGTTTTTGTAATGATTTTAATTTTTTTTTAAGTTTTGATGATTTGGCAACGTAGTTAATAGCTAGGTATACCAAATAATAGTATTCTAAGGTTATATAGTTAAAAAAAGACTGCAAAATTATATTTACTTGAATTTTTTACAGTTAATCCATCCATGAAATTTGATGAACATAGATATAATTTAGATAATAAACCTATACTTATATCAGATCTAAGTCCAATCTAAGTGCATTCTAAGTTTAAATATCCATCTGTGTAGTATTAGCACTTGCGTCAGACAAATCGTATACCTATTCAAGACAAAAATAAAGGATCCCAACAGACGGATCCATAACGGTTTTGTTTGTAATGCATCATGTAATGGTTTGTTTGATGTTATTATAAAGGTAGTTAGTTAATATGTTTTCTTATTATTATTATAACCAATTTATTCCCATTATATGGAATATTTTGTAGGATGATGAATGAAGGAGAAAATGTGTATCTTCTGTAAACAATCCTGAAACGGCTGTTGTTTATTATTTCAATGTGCAATTGTGTGTGTCTTTGAATGATAACTTTTGGGGCGTGAGTCTTAATATAAAATGTAAATAAAATTTAAAACGGGCATTGCAATCTAAGAATGTTTAATCCATGTATGGAAAAGGAAACCCAAAAATGACACGTCGTTCATTATTATTACAATGTAATTCTTATCTTTTAGTAATATTTCTATAACAATAACTGCTAAGTAATTGTTTATAATTAAATTGTACAAATAACTAGATATAGCATTTCAGTTAAATAATTATTGTGATTTTAGTATGGAAATATGTACTTTACATTGCAAATTTTATGGACCAGTACATTGGTAACAGTGATGTGTACTATTTTAATGCTTTATTTATTTATTTAAACTTTAATGCACAGTAAAATTCTATGTACATTTGGCGGACTTAACACCGGATGGTGTTCTCTACCAGTCAACATTAGGCAAACTGAGAAATACGTAGGCGGTGCATTTTTGAATAGAGTAAAAATATATCAAATATTACTTTATTTGATAAATTCATATAATATAAATATACACATAATAAATAAACACATAATAAATAAATAAATATATACATACAATAAATACACACATACAATAAATACATTTATAAATAAAAACGTAAAATATTACTACGAGTATATAAAACAATTAAATAAAACAACTGCAATAGGAGAGCAAATAGTAATGCTTTACCATGTCTTTTATCTATACAATTACTGCAGTTATTACATTATAGTTACTCGTATTATAAATATGAAAATTTGTTGAATGTTTGTTGTATAACGTCTTTTAATAATAGGATACTTTCGCCTGACTAAAGCCTTTTATCCTTTTAAAGAATAAATAAAAAAGTTCATATATGATGTAATATTTTACAAATTAAAATGAAATAATTATGTTGTAGCCACTGAAGCGGAGCCTGCTGCAGCGAACCAAAATCCGGCAGCTGATCTCGAAGCTCTCATCGAGCGGCTGGAGCGCGTGACATCTCGGTTGGAGCAGCTCGTGGTCCGCGCGCGGAGTCCCACACCCCCGCGCTCGCCCGCACCCTCGCCGGCGTCGCTGCCCGCATCGCCAGCACCACCACCGCAAACTCAATTGGAACAGACCCCATCATCTGATAATATGAGCGTCAACGGGTACCAAGATATCGTGCAGGTAAGAACTAGTCTGCTTCTGTAGGAAAATGTTTTATATGAATGATTATATTGAATTTCTATTCTAACTATAGTAAACATTATGCATGATGTTGATTGAAAGAGATTTTTTTTTTAGAGATAAATCCACTTGAAAACAATTTTTGAAATTAGGGTTTACTTTTCTCTGATTAATAAGGTTAACTAATATAAAATAGTACATTATTCACCGAGAAAAGAAAGTGATCGATTACCTAGGCGAGTGACGTTTGGTCATCAAGCCAGAGGCCGAGGTCCAAATCACATAAATTGGGACTCGAATAATATTTTTTTTTCGAGTACCACTTATTTATTTACACCACACCTACAAGAAATTATAACAATTCGTTTGCTTATTGTAATATTCTGTTATTGAATTCGAGTATCTACTTAAAGAGCATTAATACTGAAATTTACTAAAGTGTGGTAACGTCACAATTATCTGCCTTCTTCATTTTTATAAACAAATTAACTATATCCAGTATTACGTCAGCCAACAGAGCGTAGTCTAAATATTACGGTATTTTCATATAACATGTGTTAGACACTCGTTGGACCAACGAACTATTATGTTAGCTATTCATATGCTAATACCTACGGTTTACTCGTAAATAAACACAAATTCGTGGCAGTTGTTACTGCAGCGCGAGTTCATCTAATGCTTATCATCTGAACGTAACCTTATTCATACACTATACATTATATTATTCAACCAAGTCTGAAGTTCGGTTTCCAAAATGTATGCTTAATTTCTTTGAAAATTTTAAAAGGAAAAATGTCTTACATTTTTTTCTTTTAAAAATATGTGTCTTTAATTATATTGGCAAGGTTGGTTTTCATCTGTCAAGGGCAATTGACCATTTTCTTTTAACGTCCGTAAAATGCGGAATGTTTTAGAAAATGGCTTTTACTAATCCTTTTTGAAATCTTTTGAAGTTTGGATAAGAAAGAAAACGTATTTTCACATTAAGCTCAGTGAAAGCTTTTTTAAAATACGCGAAGAATCTATTTGTAGACAAAGGAATTCTTTACCTCTACGAATGTCTACTCTGATGAATCGTAATCACTTCCTTTACTTTATAAAGTTGACATTTTAAGGCTTCTTACGCAACCATAAAATTTTTTTAAACAAATTATATCCTCCTATTATAAAAGCTTTCAAGATGTATATCTATTCAGATGATTTAATTATTATACAATCATACTTAATGGTGACGATGATGTTTATATCTTCAAAGATAAGAGATCGAGATAAAACTTTAACTAATGCCCTTGACCGATTTTTTTAGTTGTTCATCAAATAAAATAGACAAATTTCAAGTACACTCGTTTTCGAACAATACATACTTATCAACACAAATTTAATGTTAGGTACATTTAAATTTGTGACAGTATTACTGAACTGCTTTTCCCAAATAATATCTTGAAATCTTAAAATAACTAATCGTGTGATTACGTGGCCAAGTTTACTCATTTTTTTATATTTTAACTTTGTTTGTTTAAACAAGTTGTTCGGTTTCACAAATATTGCATTGGGTTGAGCTTGGTATTCACATAACCAATCATGTATAATGCAAATACATAGTAAGGTTTTAAACTAAAAGCCCATAAAATTTATTGCAAAAAAAGCTTCCGCACTGACAATATATATATATATATATATATATATATATATATATATATATATATATATATATATATATAGAACCATTTTTTCTGCACTCATCCATACTAAATGGGTTTCTATCACAATACAAAAAGCCTAAATGTTTGAATGATTGAACACGAATTAGGAGACGCATGACTGCGTTTATATAATTTAAATATTCTTTATTCATTCCAAAAATATTTCTAAATAATGAGTATGATTCGAGTATGATCAATTTATTATTTCCACCCTATTTATATTATACTACTATTTATACTGAAATGAAGATACTCTTGCAAAAATTTTTATTTAGATTATTGTTATCTGCTAACTGTAACCCGTGGCTTCGCTCACGAGAATTGAGATAAAAATATCTCGTGTTCTAGGCTAAAGGAGTTAATTGAAAATCTGTGTACCAATTTTCATTTAACTCTAACTATTCAGCTTTTCAAGTATACTTGTGTAACAAATATCTGAAGTCCCAAATATCTTTTCAAACTCATATTTATAATACATTGTCTACACTCATAGACAATGGCTAGGATAATAATCGTACATCAATGAGATTTCTCATCAACAGCTTCCATATACGTTGCTATACTATATTTTTCATCTATTATTTAGAGATGAATTTTCAAAAATTCTTTCTTTATTAATCGTGCTTTTTTTTCTTAAATTTCTTTATTCTTTGTTTAATATAAGGAGTTTTTTAATATAAGAAACTTCTGTATAAAATTTTATAGTGTTAAAACTCGTCGATGAAGAAGAAGTTAGACCAACCGAGTTTTTTCAAGTCAATTTATTCCCTGGCTGGTTTCGCCCTTTTAAGTCATTATCAAAGGTTTATTTAAAGTCATCAAAGGTTTAATATCCTATTCTTTATCTAATTATTATAAGGCTACGCAAATTCTAAAATTAAATTATATGGCGGGACGATGTTTGAATCTTTGTGCTTCGGTATCAGATTGCATGTCTTAATTATTATACGTAAGCAAATTGCTCGAGTGAAATTACCATCTCATTATTTTGTATTCGCAGGTCATTTTAATTATCATTACCAGTATTTTTGATTGTGCTTGCATGACCATTTTTCGTATGATTTCGGTTTAAACTGTAGGATTTGACTATGATATCGTGACGTCTTCAGGAATGGAAAGGAAATAAAGGAACTATGATCATCACAGTTAATTTTGTGTTAATTCACGTTATTGTTTTCGCCGGTTACTACTTTCTATCTGTTTGATTCAGTTTCTTTGATTTCTGTACAAGTTGCGTAAATAAACGTTAACATGTTTTTTTTTATTATAATATTCTGTATTTTATGTGTTTGTATTAAGTACTGGGTTACATATAACGAAAAAGACCCGTTTAGAGGGTGTAATTTCCGACGACGAATCCGAGATTGAGCTCACATTTACAACAGTTCTGATAGCTTCATTTGTCATTCTACAAAACAGCTTCAACATATTCGCTTCATCTGCCAACACATCATTATCCTTAAACGAGTAACGAATAACATATACTACAATTTATCTAACGTAAATGGTTATACATTTATATGTATTCTATAAACGTTTATAATTAATGTAATTGTTGTTGTTTTTAGCGATTTGTTTTTATTAAACGAAAATATTTATTCTTTATACTAATTTTGTCTAGATTGGATTTACTTTAGGATTTCTGTGTTATTACTTTATTATTACTAATTTTTATTTATTAGTACGAGTAAACATATTTAATACCTACATATTTAGTACAAAAATATTTAGTTTCTTTTACATAATTTATAATTATCATATAAATTATATTTATAATTATTAAATATAAATCGTGATATTTATATATATATATATATATATATTTTTTTGTTTTGCAATAGGGTCCCCTGCGTGCATATATCGAACTCTCCCAGCAAATTGGGGGAGATGTTGCCACGCACGCCAATCTCGTCAATGCTGCTTTCCAGTAAGTAATTTTAAACCTTCTAATAAGTTTAACGTTAAAATAGATGTAAAAAATCTGTTTTACTGAGTTGTATGTATAGTTGTTTCAATATATTAATTAACAGTAGATGAGATTTGAAAAAAATCTTCCATTTAATTGACATATTTAATTGACTTTTTTTTATATAGATATACAATTTTGACTTTCTCTTATGAATTTATCCTATATATGTAAGTTGAAAAACTCAAAATTTGTCGATTTTCGGCTTTAGAAAAATGTTCAATGTTACTGGTAAATCACTACCTTAAAAGGATGCTAATGATTTCTATTTCACCGTATATAAAAATCTCCGACGCCTTTTATTGTGCTAGAGGCTGCAAAAAAATGAAGAGAAATTGCTCTGAAGAAGGGTCGGAAATATCACGACGTTTAGCATTGAGAGAAAAACGGACAATTACGATTTTTTCGAATGGATAAATAAAAGTGACTTAAAGTAAAATTTGAATAAACGAAAAAAAAAAAAAGAAATCGTAAATAAATGAAACAAATATGTTTATAATTGTAATATATGATTTTATGAGGTAGTCAACGACATCTGTCGATTATACTATTGTGGTGAACGTAACAAACATTCGATATGTCCATATTTCATGTAGCTCTATCCAAAGGTTACAGAATAAACCTACCGGAGTCACTCTGATTAATGTGGTTTTTAAGTAGATCACTGGAGAGTTAGAAATTTAAAGGAACACACAAAGTTTTGGTGAAAGCCAAATTATACGACTTTTGAAGTCGAACCTGGGGTATTACAAGTTCACAACTCTCAGAAATTATTGATAATACCAGCTATTTTTTAATACGATTATTTAGACACTAGATTTAATATGTATTTTATGTAGGTGTTAATATGTCTAATATTACATGTAAAATCATAAAACACAAGAAGTCGTCGTACTCTTAGCACGATAAATAAATGAACCGTATCTAGCCTTTATCACAATGGTAGCCGGTTCATTTCCGTTGTTTGTTTTCCGGTCTATTGTTATACAGCTGTATTAACATATCCTGAATCGCGAAAAGATAATAGGATGCAATAACTATAGTTTGGTTAAAAAAATCTTTTATTTGATCGTTCAGCATGAATACTTGGTCCTATTGTAACAGGGCACAGCTCCGCTACATTCAGCAAGCGGCTGCCCGCAGCAAGCCATCCCAATCAGAAGAGATGCAACTCTTAGCACCTACAAGCGAACAGATCTCTGCCATTCAGCAGTTCCGTGAGAAGAACCGCGCTTCACCATTCTTTAACCATCTGTCCGCTATTTCGGAGAGTATACCTGCCCTCGGATGGGTGGCTGTGGCTCCAACGCCAGCTCCTTATGTGAAAGAGATGAACGATGCTGGCCAGTTCTACACGAACCGTGTGCTGAAGGAATGGAAAGAGAAGGATAAGACGCATGCAGAGTGGTGCCGCGCTTGGGTGCAGTTGCTGTCTGAACTTCAGGCGTATGTGAAGCAATATCACACCACCGGCCTCGTGTGGTCTGGTAAGTTTTTACTTTTAAATATTTATTAGATTTTAAATAACCACATGTAAGATATCTAGTGCCCGAAAGTAATTATATTTTAGTCTTTATACACATTTTTTTCTAATAATCTCTACGAGATAGTTTGTTACATATGTTTAGATAGTTTTCAGCTTTTGCATGTTTCGATGCTTCGATGGATTTTGGTAATTGCACGTGTCCATTGACTTTGAATATTTTATTAGCGACTCGCTCCGGTTTCGCATAGGTACATAGATAGATTGTTAACTTACTTTTTTTAAATAAAGTACAGCCCATGTTACTTGCTGATGCTTGTTATTTTAAAATTCTTTAAATATTTTTCAATTTATCTATACAAAAAATTAAATCTTTCTTTTTTATAATATTATTTTAGGTTTTAAATTCGAACTTCAGTTAAACATAATGAGTGGATTATAAAGTCTTAATATATTTGTAATTATGGCATACCGACATTTTTCGTGTAACGCTCGTTATGTATTCTGTAGTGAATTGGAATCCCACCCTTAACCTATCCCCTTGACATGAAAATTTGTTCATTAGTGTTATGCAAATTCATGAATATTTTAACAACCAATTAACTCACCTGGTCACTAGGGCAAACTTCTACGTTATTTGTTTATCATAAAATGTATCGGATACGGTATATTATGATCAATGGAGGGTGTGAGAATAATTTATTTACTTTGAATGAGCAAAAAGGGAAATGGAAATATGGGAAATAACATTATTCGTATAGGCTTTGCTGAAAAGCTGCGATGTTTATAGCGCACACAAGTATGGGTTTACTTGCCTGTTTTAAATGTACCTATGTGTCGTATACTTATTGCGTATGTATGATCAATAATATCTGCTATCCGTAATTTATATTCACAAAATTCATGGTTGTTTTTGATTATACATGTTATATTTTTAATTTTACAGTTTAAAAATTAGAAATGTAATAATCTATTACGTTTATAATTATCTTATAAACAATAACTTTATACTTCTGCAATGCTGGTTTATTTATTAACTAGGTTTTACACACGACTTTGTCCGAGTAACCGGAATATGTTTATAGACCGGAATAAGTAGTATTCTATATCCTTTTTCATTCCAAATTGTACGTGTATATTGAATTTTATGACTATTGATTGAACCGTTAAGGCGTCAAAAGGCAATAAACTGTTTATATGTATTATTCCATAGTAACATAAACAGATAGAGATTTTATTTGTTTTTATGTATTTTACATTTTTGTTTTTACATTGTTTAGATAATTTTACATACTAGATCTTAAAATCTAAGTTCAATATTACATTATATATGTGTTGCACCAGCAAATAGGTTTTAGCTAGGTACAGTTTTACCATTACCTGGAGCGCTTACTTTATGCTTGTTTTGTTAAAATCCAGCGTTACATGTTCATTGCTGACATGTAACTGCCACAAGGAACCATTCGTATCGATCGACTCTCCGCAAAACTTTTCAGATCGTCGCTCCATCTAGTAAGAATCATCTAACAATACGTTTGCATGAAGGGAGCTTGTTTATTATATAGTGAAAACTGTGAAATATCTTTTCGAAAGACTTTAAAAATAATGTTTTCAATTCGGCTGCATTATTATTGATGTTTGTTATAACTCTATCAGTTTTAAACCGACTTGGAAAACTCTTGTTTTGTTTGAAAGGATATACTTACAGATTCGTCCCATAGAAATTGTATCAAAATCGCTTCAATAGTCTAGTTTTTCAATTAAAATAGCTGGTTTATTCACTATTGAAATTGTGGGATACAATCTTTAATTGTTCGTACTCACATAATTGAATGGTTTGTAACAAAATTCTATAAGATAGTTACCCTATATATTATATTAGAACCATTAATATAAATGTAAAAGTTCATATTTTCATGTTTAAATATTTGTTATTTAATTACAATTATATAGTTATTATATACATTACAAATGTTTTAATGATAAGTTTGTGTGTTTATTTGTTAGCTTATGAACTTATTTTTTATGTGCTAACTTTACGCCGCCGGACCGCGTAAGTAGCTTGTGTAGGAAATTTCATGATGATTTATTCAGACTAATGTTCTACGATATAACAAATATGCTTATTTTTACATTTATAATATCTGTAATGATAAGTAAATAGATATCATAACATAATTATTTATTAACTAATTATATATAAGTATTTATAAATATTAACGCCAGATAAACCACTTATTTACACAGAAAATAATCAAATTTATAATTATACTATATGGTAAGGTTACAACAATCTAAAATTCAACTTTCCTCAAGATTTCCCTTCATGCAAACCGCGCTATCTGTCATGTGATCGATTTTGTATGAAATATTGAAAAATAGTTTCCATATTTTGGTTATGTTTTTTGATAACAGTTGTTAGACTCCATCATTCGCTGGTTGTTCGTTTGTATATTCTTTATTCCAATTGACCCCTGATTAGGTACAGAATGGTAGCTTTAAATAATTTTATCTATTGATATATTTCTTTCAGTAGTTTTTATTTCAACATTTTAGTACATTGCTTGATTGGCGTTGCCTTTTGTGTAGGTGTTCTGTAAATTGTTTGTAAAGAAAACGGCAATTTCAAACTTTCTAAAATTATTATAATATGGGACTAACATAAACTGTATTTATAACAGAAAGTACGGGTAATCTGTCTCATTTTGGTAGTCACTTAAAAACAGGGTCAATAGCTTGTCAAACTATTCATTAACGGAGTTTGTTATCCCACCGAATTATAGTTCTGAAGTTAACCAACTATGTGTTAACTTTGTTTAAAATAGGTTATTTGGGTATCAGAAGTTTGGAAACGGTGACAAACTTCATACATATATAAACGTTTGCAATACCTTGTCCTATAATCTTATATAAGGCTGAAAATTATGAGTCACGCTTCTCTAATACCTCAATAGTAAATTCCTGGGCCGTCGTTTCGTTTCTGCCTGCCAAACTTCCTGATGAATTTATTATGGCCTTCTCCATTATTGCAAATTTATTGTTGTGAAGGTCAGAGTTCTAATATTGGAGTTATTTAATACACCTAAATAGAAAGTTAACTAAATTCCCTAATAAAGCTGGAAAAACGACGCTTCGGGCGCTTTACGGCGTGGCCGAGTTAAGCCAGGGCGGGTCGCTTAGTAACGGTAATATTTGTCTACTTACTTTTTAAAAATTTTTGTATTCCAAAAGTCAAAGTAATGAAATTTTGAAATATGTTTCATATTTATATTTACCACAGGTAAGTAAATATGTCTACTATAATACCTGATGGTGTAGTCTGAGACATTTGTAGATTATTATCCTTATAGTAAACTTAACGTTCCGACTGCAAATTATAATTATATATTATTCTTAATAATCATATTTCATCTAATCTATATTCGTTGTTTAAGGAGATCGAATTTGTTAATCCTATTGATACAAAAAATTGTGTCGATATATGAGTGAATGGATAGATAGATGGTTGTTTGTTATTCTTTCACTCGCCAACTACGGAACGGATATGGAATAAATTTGTTATATGTGTAAGTTGTATCCTTACTTAGTGCTCAGGACACTATGCACTGATTCACGAGGGCGAGGCCGTAGAATACAGCTAGTAATATTAATAAAAATATAAAACACAAAGTTAACGAGGAAAAGCTATTAAATATTATGTTTATTTTCGGCGTATCTTGAGGGCGAAAATAAATGAAGAGTTAGAGCTGCCTCAAATCTGCGATTTGCAGTCCTACTTAGAGGCCAAACTTATGTATATAATTGACATTGTAAATTACATGTATAAATTGCTTGTGCCTGTTGTGTTCTGCATATTTTATTTGTAAATATAGCAATTTTGAACTTATTTTAGTGTTCATCTGTAAGCTGCCTAAGGTACTCCTCCATCAATTTATTTAAATAATTAAAATACGCTCGCAGATATACGCACCGCTTTGTGCGAAGTTCAGAATCTTTGAAGCTGAATAACAGCGATACCTGTATAGCTAATATACGTCTGTTGTGGAGAATCCGGCCCCTTGAGCGACGTATTTCGCTTGCTCATATTTTAGCATATTTAAGTGTTGTATGTATATATGCAATTATGTTTACTAGATGGAGATTATACATAAGATATCTACGGGTACATAGGTATTTCCGTCATTCTTGTGTCACATAGCAGTTGTCTTTACATGGTTGTGTTATTTTTGAAAGAATGGATTGGGATCATCATATCAGCCCTTAACTGTCCACTGCTAAACATAAGCCTAGGGGGGTTTTGCCAGTAATTGCTACGCTTGGCAGGCGGATTGGCATCCGCATTAGGCTTTGGAGATGTTTTAAAAGGGACGCTGCTGCCCATCCCTTGCCCTCCCTTAGTCGACTCCTACGGGAAAGGATGGGGTGGCCTATTCTATGCTGGGGCTACATGGTAACATAGGTTGGGATATGACAGTGAAATTACAGGGTTCAAAGGCTTAATATCTTAGTTTACAAAGATGGTAATGCCCGCGACTTCGTCCGCGTGACTGTAAAAGTATCCTAGGTTTTACTCTATCTTATATAGTACGTGTATACCAAATGCCATAACAATTGATTAAGCAGTTAAACTGCAAAGAGGTAACCAACTTAAACAAACAAACTCACTTTCACATTAATATTAGTAAGAGTTGCACACCACTGCGGGAGATATTTGAAAATCAATATTTGCTTTTTACGACCAGAGCACACACGATACTTTTAGCTTTAACCTCAGAGGCTTCAGCATCTGAAAGCTTTAATACGCATATATTTGAATGCCAGTCACAGCACCTTAGTAGTTTAGACACAATAAATGCTTGCTGCGTTTCTTGTGTCTATACAAACGTAGCAAGTCGCTTAAACAAGATATTGTTAAAATACGTGATTTTAAAAAAAGTAATGTTATCAGTTTCTATTTAAAAATGATAAACAATTGTGCTTTTTATGACCTTTGAAGAAAATTTACACTGCTTTATTTGCACTGCTATTTCCTACAACAGTACACAAAGTCAAAAATTTTCTATTACATTAAATTAGTTATTTTGCTCTTTATTCGTGCCTTTGACTGTGTGTGACTGTAAACTAAATGCTTTATCTATCTTTTCACTTGTTTGGTGCAGGCAAGGGGGCAGGGGCCCCTCCGCCACCACCCCCTGGAGGTATGCCACCACCGCCGCCTGTGCTGCCAGATGTTGACTTCTCCAATCTTGCTATCGATGATAGGAGCGCTCTCTTCGCAGAGATCAACCAGGGCGAGGGCATCACCAGCAGTATGTTAAGCGAAATATATTTATTTATATATATAATACACACACAGACACATGCACACTAACTCACACTTAACTAAATATATCTAAATTCGGATCACTGCACCATTATTGTTAACCTTTTTTTTCTTCCATAGAAACAGCTATATAGTGATAATGTGTTGTGGGCTAAATAAAACTATTCGCAACATAAATTACATTGGAGATTATATAAAGCAGGAAAAGATCACGCACAAAAAGCGAGCATAATACTAATAAAGTTTTCTTCCCGGAAAACCGCATATTTGGTGCTTTGAGCTATAGGTTTGATCTCAACAATTTGGATTTCTGTAGTTAACTATATTGTTATACATTTATCATTTGTCGATATCAAGAATTTCTTTGTTTTCTTTCTTTTCTATTAAAACGTTCTCAATGTTGACTGTAGGAAATCCCTTCGAGTATAACAATATTTTATTTATCTTACGAATACAGGATTTTGTATGTACCTACATAACAAAAACACTACTACATAAAAGCACCAGCTTTCTAAGACAAAAGCACAGAGGACAAAAGCATTATCTAATTAGGACCCTTTGTGTAAATGGCACAACAGCCCTTAAGCTATCTTTTAAAACATTTATGTACACTAAAGACCTCTTTAAACAGGCCTGTGAGATTCTTAAGTGCTAGTTTGTAATTTGAACTTGGAACAATTTTAACTAGTTTGAATTGGCATAATCAAATCTCACAAATTTATATTTATAATTTTAGGGCCTGCGTATTAGATTAGGGGCAATTCTCGCTTCTTTATCCCACAATAGAACTTTATTATAGTACTCATTATTTAAGGCATACAAGTCTATGGCAAGTTCCAGAATATTTTCCACATGTCTGTCTGTCGCTATATTATTGTAAAAACACGTTCACGCCGGCGCGGGCCACCGGTGGCCCGCGATAGACTGTCTCATTGGACGGCGCGTACCACCGGCGGTACGCACTAGATTGTCTTATCTGGCGGCGTGTACCACCGGTGGTACGTATTCGATTGTGCTGTTAGAAATAATGAAAATTTTACGTTTATTTATTAAACATTAAAGTCGGCCCCGGCGTGAACGTGTTAATCTTCATAAAATTGACAAGTAGATTTAGAATGGTGATCTTCATAAAGACATGTAGAACTACTTTTATTGGCTTCCCTCATACATAAAATATAAGATTCATTCATTGGATCTTTCCAAATAAGCTGTTAATAAATAAATATCTTTAAATGTAAGAGAAAATCTTAAGTGTATGATGCCAAATATATTTTCATCAATAAAATATTTGATCATTCTTATATGTAATATTCCATACATATTAAGTACAAACTTTTTTATGTACAATTCTGTAATTGTATACGTCAGCAGGTACGTAATATTATTACTACATACAATATGTACTTAATACGAAATTAAATCGGCATTCTCGTAAGCCAATAATTGAACTTCTGACTTGATTCTCGTAAAAACAATGAACTGTTCAAATATCGTTGAAGTTGAGAAGTCCTTCGATCGAAGTTCTATACAAAGTTCGTATTGGCATTTTACTTGTCAGCTTACTTGTCGAATGATAAACAAAATAGTTTTATGTTATATTTGTCTGATCTAAGTTTTAATAAAATTATTAAATCTATTAATAAGTTACGTTGAATATTCTTAATGAAATAGTTAATAGAAATCGATTCGTTAATATTACGTGTAAACGATTTATGAAATGTCACTATTCAATGATGAAAATACTAATATAGAATATAGAATAACTAATATAGAATAGCTTCAACGACAGAGTCTCAATTGATAGGGTTGCGGTCATAGATTAAGGATAGTCTTTAGGGTCGCGGGTCATCGTCGCTTCATTCTATTATTGATGGTATTTTTTTTCTATTAGGCCTGCGTAAAGTGACGGCGGATATGCAGACACATAAGAACCCTCAACTGCGCCAAGGCCCGGCGCCGTTCAAGCCGGCGGCCGCCAGCCGACCCGCCGTGCCCGCCAAGTCACTGCCGCAGCCCGGCGCCGGCTCCTTCCCGGATAAGCCTCCCGTATTCACGCGCGATGGCAAGAAGTGGCTCATTGTAAGTGTTATTTTTCGGGTTAAGGAGAAATCGAATTACTGGATATATATAATATGGAAAGTCCATATTATATATATAATATGGACTTTCTAGAGATTTCGTAGTAGTCCGACGGAATAGCGTGAAGAATTTATATCATACAATCCTTATGAACCCTTATGAACATGTAACTCATCAGTGTATATATTATTACTTATGTAACCAACTTGTTTGTATTTAGTTTGAGATATCAGCTAATATTTCCGTAGTGGAAGAGAATAGGATAAAGACAATACAAAAGTACGATAAAATTTGATACAAGAGCAAATACAGAAAGTAACGATTTTTTCTAAGAGTGTGTCAACTTAATTTAGAACCCATATCTTTTTTAAATTACAATCGGCCAGTAGTTTATAGCTGTATGAAAATAAACCTATTTCTAACACAACCAGATACCAGCTTTTTTACGGATGATAATGGAATAGTGACCCCGCCTAAGCTAACGGTATACGCTGGTACGGGCACCAGTGAGGGATAATAAGTGAGAATGAAAAAGCAGGTCAGTTAGCCTATCGTGATGAATACGTCTGGAATTCAGCACGATGGTTTCCAGGAACCACGTGGAGGTCGACCTGTCAGGATCGCAATGGGAGTGGTAGCCCACATTACAAACAATCCCTTCCCCTCACTAGACACCAGATTAAGCCTCCACTTATAGAATAATGTTAATACAATATTACATTTCATTTCTCCATTTACATAGCCGGTCTATTGCTACTTCAACTGATAATAATTCTAGCTATACGATAAGGTGAAATCGAAATTATTCGCGGAATGTAAACTTAACCTATGTTATCAAATATATTAATATAGAAGTTTCGGGAATAAATAATCCCATACTAAATAGCTGGACGCACCATGTTAGTATTAGGGGAAGCTTACATTTTTTTTATCGCTTTTCGATCCATGTTTTTTAATGAAAACTTTCAGAGCCACTGCTAGAACACTCCCTATATCCATAATAAGACACAAATGTAATTAAATATTTATTTATTCCCACAGGAGTACCAAAAGGGCAACTCCAACTTGGTGGTCGAGAACGCAGACATGAACAACGTGGTGTACATGTTCCGGTGCCGCGACTCGGCGCTCACCGTCCGCGGCAAGATCAACGGCGTGGTGCTTGACTCGTGCACCAAGTGCGCGGTCGTATTTGACAACCTGGTCGCCAGCATCGAGTTCGTCAACTGCCAGTCTGTGCAGATGCAGGTCAGTTTTCTTTAAGAATATTTAAAATGGCGAATAAGCTGACGGCCCATCTGATGGAAAGAGGTGGTTTAAGGTTGCGCTGTTTGTTATCAAAATAATAAGTATTTATTGCAAGACACAATAATAAGACTTATTGCACAGCGCCATCTAGTCTAGACAATGCAGAACTTGTACTATAGATCTGTTTCAATAAAGTTTAATGAAAATCAAAAGAATAAATAATTGTTGTAAACACGCCCATCACAAATATAAAAAATTAAAAATAAAACGATGTCATCTGGCTAGCAAGGTAATAGAATAGTAATATTCTGCTTTTAATGGATAAACATCTATACTCAGAAGTGGGGTGTTAGTGGAAATCAGTCTATGTGCTTGATGTAAAAATAACTAAAGTTTTATAAAAAAATTCTAAAGATTTACTCCGTTATAAATTATGATAAAAAATATAATAATAATCGCAATAAATGTTATTTTCAGAATTAAATAATCCAAAGATTATATCTCAAGTTCCTGGCAAACACTATCTTCGTCGTCATCGTGTTTTATCTCCTCAATAGCCACTTGACTCGTTGTTTCTTCCATTAGTGTACAAAGTTTGCTTGATTTCGCATAATTACAAAATGGGAATGTTGAATCGGCGACGAACCCTTGAGTATCGTAAAATTCCCGAGATACGGCGGTCTGTGGGATATCCTGAAACAAAATATAAAACAATGTAAATAAATTTTTCAGTTCTTTTTATATCGAGTTTTGGTTTATTTAGTTAAGCAAGTTCCATAACTGTGTTTAGAAAAGGTCGTTAATTTAGAAAAGGTCAAAGGCATTCACAAACTTTTCATTATATAGGAAATTTGATCAGTCTAACTTGGATACGTGTTTCGTTTAAAACAATTAAAGCAATTTCCAGAATTATATTTTATTAACAACTTTGAAAGGATTATTTTTGTTTTTAATTACCTCATAAGCATAGTTACGATAGGGATGCTGAGTCCAACTCAGACCATATTCATCATTGCACATTTCTGTTCCATTCTTAAAATCGCTGTCGGAATCTGAAGATTCTCTTAAATTGGGCTTTGAAAAATCTCCCATGGCCTCTTGTGAGGCGGCGTCAACGTGAGAATCCATATTCAGTAGCGTCAGTTTGGTATTGATTACCATGTTGAGCGTCTTCTGCCAATCTTCCAGAAGTTTCTTTATGCTTTCCATCTGCAACTATTTATTATTAAGCAACACCAAATTTCATAATGTTATGATTAACTATTTGAACCATAGAATTATATTCATGTATATGATACTGTTTATGTATATATGTGTATAGTTACCATTACTATATATTCTAAGTTTTATATAAAAATACAGGCTTTCAAAATGTTACCTTCTTCTTCAGCAGCGCTTGTTTAGTCGCGCGACGTAGTCTCTTCTGTTTAATATAGTGCTTTAGATATGCGACTTTATATACATTGGTCACCCTGACGATCTTGACTCGATAATCCTGTTGTACTTCCACATCGCTCGCCGACGAGTAGACGCTGTTCTCAGACGTGTTGGTTTCGGTCTGTACATGCTCCCCACACTCCAAGTTCTCAGGTTGTCTCTCTGAAATCGCTACTTGGTCGCATTTCAAATCTTTCAGCAGTTCTGCTATAAAGTCTCGATCTGAAACGTGTGGAAAATACCATTTGGCAAAGCCTTATTTAAAAAATATATTTCAAAAGTATTAACACGATTATGCTTTACCAGAGGAAGACTGAACAAAAGTCGTTTGCTTGGACACCTCTGTCCCATTCGTGTTTCTACCATGAGAAGTTGTGTTTGTATGGCTGTGTTTCGGTTTGAAGGGCGGGATATAACAGTGAATTTGCAGGGCACAGACGAATAACACCTGAGTCCTCAGGAATGGTAACGCATGGGGGTTATAATGGGCGAAACAGTATACTCTATTATGTTCATGGTACTGCTCATGTCTATAGACTACGGTTACCACTTTCCATCAGGTGAGCCGTCAGCTTGTTTGCCATTGTAAGTTGCATAAAAAATGCTTTTAACATTTTTATAATAGCCATATGGCCGGTCATTGCCGCATTAGTTTGCAGACTTTCAGGACTATATCGGTTACTATAGATAGAATCAAAATTCTTCTGCGGAATTCCACGTTTTGTATCCAAAGTGAAACTCCAAACAGCTCCAAGCATAAGGATTTGGGGCATCCTCGTACGACTAGCATCTCTACTATGGCCTCTATCAATGAGTGTGTCGCACTTATTATTAAATAAAAACGATAGCAATGTTACTATGGATTAGTTTAGTACAAGCGGTACCTTCGTCGGGGCTAGTATCGGCGTGAGCGTGCACGACGTGTAGTGTCTGCCGTAACGCGTCGTCGGACGCGATCACACCACGCACCCGCGCACGCACTCGCCGCAGCCGCTCAACGCCGCGCCGCAGTTCCTCCACGCGCTCCGTCATTTCCGCATCACGCACGCACAACTTCGTCTTCGCTATTTGGATCTGTTTCGTCGTATATTGTTATCTATTAAGTTGTAATTCGCGAATTTGCCTGCATAAATTACGAAAGAAACTATCCTACACGTTAATTCTGAATATGGGTTATAAATTATTCCACCAATACAAACAAACATTCAAAATGGAATAAAATTACTCCTTTGATCCTTTTGCCTACAAAGGTGTAGTGTAGTAACGCGTTAACCAGAATAATGCATCAAAAGACCAATTTCCCCTACCGCACCATTGACGAGATTGGATAGCTTGCAATTGCCTGCATCACTTAATTGATGCATTCCTTCTGCAGCTAATTAGCTGTGTGTGCTTATATTTTATTTAACGCTTGTTAAATAAAATGTATTTAAAAAGCCTGTATGAAACAGGTGTTGATCTTTATCAGGCGTTGTGATTTTATTTAGTACTAGAAATTGTTGATAGAGAAAATCACTTATTATTGTGTCTAGCAATCCTACTGAATCTGTTTGGAAAATAGATTACTACCTAGTCGTATAAAGTTTTGTTTTAATATTTGTATAAAGTCATTATGTTAGTTTATGGTCCAAGAGAAAGCAGTCTTAACTAAGTTTTGTATACAGAAACTACTCGACATTTGACAATTTTTTTTTTGTGATAGGTGGTATCAAATTCACGTTAGTATCATGGAGGATATCATTTATTACTTCATTATCCATTCCAATCGAAAGTCGTAATATTCTCACGAACACCAATTTAATAATGACAATAATTCATTTCATTGATATAAAAACTCTATCAGAGTTAAGCTCGCCTTTGTACTTTTGTTTACCTCTGTCATATTTTTATAACTAATGTGTACAATAAAGTATTAAATAAAAATAAATAAATAAATAAAATTTTACATATAATTAGTTCCAAGTAATCTAACGATAAGATGCTTTTCTATCTTAAAAGATAAACTTTTATGTATTAATATAAAACTATTGTATATCCATCTTAAAACCTCGTACAAGGGGAGCGATTGTTAGTAATAAAGACTAGTGGTCCCATTGATAGCAATATCAGATCGACCTTCACGTAGTCCTTGGAAATTATCGTGATAAATTCCATTCTAATGCGTCACGATAGACCACCTAACCTGGATTCATCATCACTTACTATCCTTCACTTACTATCCTTCACTGATATCTGCCAACGTACACCGATAGCCCAGGTGGCGTTCACCATCTCGTATTCCATACCTATTAAAAAAAGTCATGAATCGTACAAACCTGCAGCTGTATATCCTCCAATTCTATTTGTTTCTGTTTGATTCTTTCTCTCGAAGTTACATAAATTCTTTTAATTAATTTGTACATATACAATCCAGTTGGCACATATTTGATAAGGAATATTGCCTACAAAAACAGAATATGTGAGAAACGCTCTGAAACTAGATTTATTAAATTCATGGAACTTATTAATGAAATCGCAATGAATTCATGGAACTGGAGGTTAAATATTGTTAACAATTCATTATATCAGAGTTTGTTTTATACAATTAATTAATAACTGTCAAAGTACATTATAAGTCTTAAGTGACAATAGAATTATGACTGTAATCAACTACAAAAGCCATATTATTACAAAATTCCGCATTTTAATTAATTAAATATGAGCCGTCCTTTAAAAGACGCAGATGTGATTAATTAATAAAAAAAAAAAACTAAAATCTTAATTTTATATTTCTATCTTATAATCATCGTCATCTTAGCCATTATCTATTATTTTCTATCATAAGAACAGGCCAGAGTCACCTGCATCCACTGACTGACTGCAATGCACTTGAGGTCGTCACTCCATTTAATGGGGGAAGGGGTAATCGGCCTACACTACGTTTGTTCGTACAGGGTCTCGACCCAAGAACCTTCGCTGTCGGTTGTCGGTTCTTCGAGCTATGTAAGAAACCCGTTGTCACTTCAGCTTGCTTATCCTTAATAAGGATACTGCTTCGTAGGCGCGTATATGAAGTAGGAAATCCCATTGGTTTTCTAACTTACAAACTAGTGTAAGTTTTATTCTGATAAGCCGTCCATTTAATTAAATAGACGGCTTATCAGAATAAAACTTACACTAGTTTGTAAGTTAGACCTTCAGGGTCACAACAGTTAAAATCGCATTCAATGTGGTACAGGAATTTTTGTGTAATGACAAAACAAATAAACAAACAGATAAAATCTGTAGAAAATGTTGTTTTGGCTTCTATTGCTATTAAAATTGCTTACGTAATTTTTTTTTTAAATGCCCTATGTACAGATCATCATTCAGATAAAATTTTATTATATTAGTAAAATGAGTCTTTTACTCTAGCTATTTGTTTTTTTTTACGCATTGTTATTTCGATAAAAAGTTTTTTTTTACAAATATGCCAAGTATTTAAAAAATACACGGAATTTATATCCTTCTAAAATATTTGAAGGTTCTTAGAATTGATGTTTTGGACTCTGTACTATTAATAAAATATGTGCGTGCTACCAGATTATATATTTAATACATAAACCTAATCTGGTTTCGTTATTCAATATGTATGTATATGTATGTACAGACTACAAGTAATACATTTATTGCTTAATTTATAGGCAATTTGTGTTTATTAGAATAAGGGTCAATGCAATTTTCTATTCCATGGATGGCAAATGTAGCGAAAGAATATTAAATTCGCCTTACCGTGTTTGTAAAAGTGAGCCTCACATAAATCGAGTATAGGAAACGTATGCAACCGTGCATGAATGGTACTCCATATTGTTCCAAGATTACATCCCAGTTATGACTAAAGCCCCACACTCCGTTAGCCAGTACTTGACTGGGGCCAACATTGTCTACGACAGTCGTCATGTGTTTTGGTCGATAGCCCAACACTAATGCCGCCACAATAACTAATAAAGTCAGCATCTAAAAACATATAAAAAGCAATCCTTATTACGCATTTCTATGAATTGTATAATACATTTTGAAAACGCTTTTGTCTGTACACTTTGACATCGGACATTTGACATTATGAACTGAGTGGTTCTATCTTTGAAATTTTCTTTTATACATTCTGTCATTGAATAATCAAAAATATATAAATGAGAATGAATGTGAAGTACGTGTTGTTCTATAAATATCCTTTTTTCGTGTGTACATAATACTAGCTTTTACTTGTGATTTTGTTCGCGTCATTGTGTTATATTAATAGACCAGGATAAAAAGCAGTCGATTAACGTATTGAATTACGTCAGTATAAGTATATATGTATGTTGTTTTGCATTATTATTTAAATGGTCCAATAAACAGTGAATAAATAAATAAAATAATTTACAGTTTATAAAATTTCCGTTACATATTAGACATCGTTAAAAAATTAACACAAGTATTTTACTAGACTAAGTGTTATTTTTCCGAAATCCACTGGTTAGTAGTTCATTAGATTTTTTTTTTGTATTATTCCGCTACCATCAGTATTCCTGTGACTTATTTATAAATGGTAGTTATTAAAAAAAATATGTATAAGAAGAATTTATAAAGTTTGGATACTTTCATAGTAATTAACTAACATAGTATTCATTTCATAGTAATTAAATATTACTACTGAGCTCCTCGCAGAAAACTGTCTAGTTTCGTGAATGCTGTCACAGAACCCCGACTTGACATAACATACCGATTACAATAAACTCTGTCAGATTTTATGGAATGTAATTTCCAGAAACGGATACTTATGTAAATTAATATATGATTAATATTTGTTGAAATAAGATTCCAATGTATTATATTTTACTCGAAATTGGATCTTTTGTTATACAAGATTACACATCCTAAATACATAAATGTCTACGACAAAGGACTATAAGTATGTTCAAAGTGAATTATGAGAACCTATATTGTGGTAGAATATACAATAGTCTTGTATCGAGAATCTTATTGTATTTGTTTGATTTGTAATAATGTCAACAAAAACATTGAATGGAATGATACGTTTTGAAATTTTACATACGGGTTTTTTCTTGAAAATAGTTGTAAATAGAACGATTAGCGGTGAGGTTTTACATAGGTATATCTTTGACGCAATATATCTATCAGAGGGAGACTGTATGAAAAACGTCTGCTTGGAGAGTTCTGTCCCCGTGTGACGCGCTTGAGCGTCACTGTGTATTCTATAATACCTATAATGCTGTTCATGTTTATAGGCCATGGTCACCAGTTTTCATCAAGATTGATATTTGTTTTTATGAAACGACTAGGAGAAAATAGATTCTGAGTTCGAGTTTAATTTGGTTTCACAAGATTGTTCATTTAGCTTGCTTATTTACCTGTTATTGTTTTTGTAATTGTGCAGGTGTTGGGTAAGGTGCCAACTATATCCATCGATAAGACCGACGGGTGCCAAATCTACTTGTCACCAGAGTCGCTTGACGTCGAAATCGTCAGCTCCAAATCTTCGGAGATGAACGTGCTCGTACCCAAGGGCAATGGCGACTATGTAAGTATCTTCCCTACAATTAGTTCTCATTCAATCTCAATAAAGAAACATGGAATTAATAATCCATTTAGTTAATTTCCCCTAAAAATGTTTCGGTATGATGAGTGAATGATTTGATATAAATTCTTTATCACGAAGTGATTCTAAGAAGGCACCTTAAGAAATATCTTGTATTAAAGATCATGCAGAGAGGACTGAGTGTAAAATGCCCTCTATCTTATATATATCTTGCTTGATATATATAAGATAGAGGGATAGATAACTCTTGATTTCTCTCATAATTAGTGCACGATCTGTCTGATTATGATTGGTTTGTTTATACCTCTCCATATTCGCGCTAGTGACCACATACTTCTGTATAGTGTAATTTGGATAAACGTTTTCATGATATATTGTCATAAGAAATCTGATCGCGTTTGCCTAAATGTTAAATAACATAATATGTTGTCTATTAAATAAATTAGATACATAAGACTTTGTTTTCACCAAACGCACATCGATACTATATGCAGATATTTTATAATTTAATATCAAATTTTATTAGTATATTGATTGAGATACATTATATATAAAATATATTTTTGCCTTGTGTAGAGGTCACATCGTGGATATCAATCATTTTCACCAAAATTCGACATATTGTATTTTGTCAGAAACAAGCTTTTATGTTATCTATTAAATATGTAAGATTATGTGTAAATCAATCTATCAAGCTACTGACGGCTATACGATATTTTATACGGTTTGGGGATAATCTAGTGAGATCACTCACCGTTTTTACGCTGTATTTACGAATCCACTTTTATCTGTTTTATTTCACGTTAAGTACCTCGTGAGGTAGGAATTATTTTGTAACTTACATAAGTTTATTTTTGCTATTTCTAGAAATTATATTAGATATTATTAATTATTCTTTTCTATTTTAGTTTATAATGGTTTATGTTTCTGTTGTAACTATTATTAGTAAGCGATAAATAAATATGTTTTTTTCTTTTTTCTAACTATAAGGCTTATCCGTACCAGCATAATATTTCAGGCGATAGGCGCTGCTCTACGTCCTTCCTTTAATAGTGCATTTATTTGTCTGTTTTCACGGTTAAATTAATGCAAAGGCAATGTTAACAAAATAACTGTATTTGTGACGTTAACCATACATTCTGTATGGACAAATACAGTTAATTTATGTTGGATAATCAATGTAATTTCTTTTTTATCAGGCGGAGCACCCAATTCCGGAGCAGTTTAAGACACTGTTGAATAAACCTCGGAACGGGCTCACCACCACTCCCGTCGAGAACAAGGGCTAAACGGATAACATATTTGGACGCCGTAACGAAGCCCGAGAACAAATATTCTAGTTTCAATAAATACTTCTTTCCGTTTGCAGAATATAGACCAAAATGTGTAAGGCAATAAATTAGCGAATCGCCCTTTGGGGCACATGAATATTTGATATATTAACCCATTGAAGTTACAAAGCACTCATTCGAGACGAGTCAAGGCTTTCTAATTTAATAATAATATTTTGCACGGTCTAGTTCAATATTAGTTCACTTGTTGCCGCTTGTCTCGATGTTAGAGCACAAATTATTCTTCTGTACGAACATGTTCTCTGGCTCATCGCACGCGTATGTTCAATGTTAATATTAAATCGTCATCTAAAGGCGTTATCTTAATTTCTTGCTCATTTCGCTCGATGGTAGTATTTAAAGATTTGATGCTAATATGACGTAGAGATTATAACTCGTGTATTTACTGGCCTTTATGTGTAATGTAAAGATGTTCCTTACTTTAGTATTTTGAGATTTTAATTTTGACATAATGCAGAAAGTATTGATAGCTTGGAGTACCATCCGGTACGGGATTAGTTAAGTTAGATGTAAGGCGTGTGACTGTCTCGATTTTAAATAATGGAAGTTAGTAATCTGTACTATCGCTATCTTGTGACTAAGTGATTCTAAAACCCCGGTTTTGATCGTTTTTCTAACGCTGCTCTCCAAATTATATTAATTAACATTTAGTTGTTTACTCATTTCTCCGTGTATTTTATTATTATTTTAGACTTATTAATTTATGATCATTGTCATTTAATATTCAATTAAGTATTATAAGATATGAATCAATATAATTTTTGTATTCCAATAATAATTGTGTCGTCCCATGATATACTTCTATTTATTTATAATTCTATTCTTATTTGGAAAAATATAATATTGTATTACCTACAAGTTTGCATTTTGTTAATTTATTTGTCGAATGATTAAATTAATTTTTAAATCTTTTTGTCTTTTTAATGTCCGTGACTGTAAAAACGTAGTAAACTACTAAGTATATAGGTTGAAAGTCGTGTGGTTTCAGCATAGAATGGGCCACCCCTTCCTTTCCAGTGGATGCCGTAATAGGCGACTAAGGGAGCTTAATGATCGAGGGGCTGGACAGCAGAGTCCCTCTTAAAACATCACCAAAGCGTAATTGCAGTTGCCAATCTGCCTGTCAAGTGTGGTAACAATTAACAAGCCCCCTCCCCCTTATGGGGAGACCTATATTCAGGAGTTAACAATTAATAGCTGATACGAAATCAGCCGAATAAAACATTTGATAGCTCGATATATGTATTATTATTGTATGAAATTTAATTTTTCATTTAAATACTGGAACTGGTAAAATAAATAAGACAACATTATAGAACTGTTATGTTTTTATTTTAATAGTTCATGGCAAACGTCGTCCATTCCAATATTTTAAACTTATTCAAACGGAAAAGGTGTGCCATAAAATTCAATAAATACTTTTTAGAAGTAAACATGCAGTGGTAAAACAAGTTTGGGCATGAATAATACCTATATATACAAATGGGCCCAAATTCATATATGGCATGGATTGTTTCAGCAAAATATTTAATTGAGCTGTACGATGAGTTATCATCTCGCGTTATAAATAGGTCCAGTTGAGATTCATTACTTAAATCTACTTACAAGATATCAGTCGAATTTCGAATAAGTACTCTATGACCTAAGTACTGGCTTATAATAATTTAAAATACATAGTATAAATATTAAAGTTAGTCGGGAGCGTGTGTACTAGAGTTATTTAGTATAGGCCTGTTGCACTGCCATTCGTCACTTCCGTCTGAACATTCCAAGAATCCATTGCATACACTAGACGCTGGTAAACATTCTCCGAGAGGGCACCTGAAGCCTTTACACGTGTCTCTCCTTATAGCTCGCTTGTTTTCGGCTGCTTCTAGATCCGCGTAGAAGTCTTCGTCAGTTTCGTAGTCGCCGGTGTAGTTGCGTTGAACCGTGTAAGTGGCCATCACGTTGTCTATCCATTCTATGTAGTTGGACACTTTAGTGTAGACTCCTGGACGATTGGCTCGCGCGCATCCGTAGCCGTTGCTGGTCACTCCATAGATGTACCATCTATCTGACTCCTGAAATTTACGTATTTAATATGAAATAATTTATCAAGACCATAATAGGTATTTAATAATTAAAGATTGTGCCCCACAATAAAAACCGAATTCTATTATGCCAAAACAAGTAAGTATTTTGATTTAAAAACAAAACTACTGAACTGGTTTTTATAAAATTTCTATGGAACCAATCTGTAAGTATATCCTTTCAGTACAAAAAAAAGAATTTTCCAAAACGGTTTAGAACTGATGGAGTTATGAGATAGGCAACATAAAAAAAAAAGAAAAAAAATGCAACTGAATTGAGGACATCCCTTTTGAAGTCAGCTGTTGCAGCAGCATTAGGATGTTAGGTACAAAAAATGGATTTTTATCCGACTTTGGAGAGACTACGAGTGAGACCATTGGCGTCACACCGTGATGTCCATGATATTTTTTCATGTTTCATTAATAAACTTTTCTTTGCAATCGTTTAAACAGGCATAGAGAACCTATACACGCAACAGATGTTGTTTATAATAACTTAAAAAAAGCAGGAAATGCTAACTCAATTCGGCCGTACTTTATTTATTTGCTACATCAGAACTCCGTAGTTAATAAATCGATTTGAAAATTCGTTTATTATGTAAAATTTGTGTAGTAAAAAAGTATTTTTTTTGAGCTATTTGCTGATATTTATGTACCTGGCACATTAGCGGCCCGCCGGAGTCGCCGAGGCAGGCGTCGCGACCGCCGCGCTCATAGCCAGCGCAGAACATGTCCTCGGTGACTCGGTACAGCGGCAGAAGTCGTGTGCGGCGGCGGCACTCCGCCGTCGATATCACTGGTAGCTCAACCTCTTGCAGAGTGTCCGCTGGATATGGCAAAATATATATTAGATACCTAAGGGAACTAAATGTATGGCCAAAAGTGTCCATCTTAAAACATCACCAAATCCTAAGCGGTTGCCAACCTGCCTGCTAAGCGTGGCAACTGCTAGCAAACGCCCTCATATGGGGAAGCCTATCTTCAGTAGTGGACGGTTAATGGCTGATATCATAATAATGCTACGTAATTGGAAGTTCGTACGATTATTTAATAAGAAAATGTCCATTTTTAATGTTTAAAATATTCAGGTTAACATAGTTTGTCATACCTATTTATTGAAATGTCCTTCAATTAGATATTAGTGCAAGGATCAGACGTAATGGATAAAAGTAAAGAGATATCAGTTACATGAGAAACCTAGATTACAGTTAATATATCCAATACTAGAAGTAGGTACATACCTACAGTGTTTTATTTTCAGTTTTTCTTCACTTGCCTAGTACAAGAGAAAGATTATACTGAAGTCACCTAGTCGGTATTAATGGTAGTAGTTCTTATGACGGCGATGAAATGGAGTCGTGACATATTGTTATCTTACTTCGTCATCACAGGAATTATTGTTCAATTTATTTAATAATAAGTTACTATGTTACAAGAATTTTGAAACCTATCAATACAGTATTCTAAAATTTAAGTTACTAGAACTTACGGAAAACCCTTTCATGTTCATATAGCTGTCCCCATCCAACGACTGTGCAATGTTGACCGGCGGGAGGCTGGGCTCGAAGTGGCGGTAAACATGCGGGTCGCAGCCTGGCGTGCAGTAATATTGGATCCATTCTGAGCATTGCTATATCATTGCGGAAACCTTGTGGGGCGTATCGTGGGTGAAGGACAATCTGACGAATGCGTGCTACCCGCTCCCAGGGACCCCGGGGCCAAGCGCCGCGACGTAACGCGCCTAGACGAACTACCCAATGTGCTTCTGTGGCTCTGAAATCAAAAAGACATTTTATTAGCTATTAATAAAGTAGATGTAAATAATAAAAAAATTGTATACTTACTAAAATCTCTGAAGGTTTAGGCAAAGTCATAAGTCAACTGTTACCTATTTTGCATTTGAATACAACGTGGCAGGGAGCGAACCTGCCTCCATTAATCGAAAGTTAACATTTCCTGCTAATTATTTATAGGTACACACAAAGTTTTTGGTGTAAGATTCGAAATTATGGCATTGCGTTGAAGACGGAGTAATTACGACATTCAAACAAATTAAAATAAAGTTATAGAACTTTTTATTAAACTTTAAGGTCTATTTATGTCATACAGACTTAGGTACTGCACGTAACATAAGATACGCACTTTAATTTTGCGATGACAATAAAATTTTAATTGGATATTTTGAAATATTTGGTTAAGCAAGGGGGATTTCTACTAAAAGAACAAAGAGCATAAAATTATAACGCAGAACCAGGTAGGTTTAACCTAAAACAACACGGGGTGAAATATAACAGCAATATTGTAAGAACAAAGTACATAATTGTTTTCAAATGGTTAATATGTGTTAACGTAGTCCTTAAATTTACATCAAATAAAAATTTGGGGTTCATGGGAAAAGCGACAATTCTCTCATCCATTTTAAATCCATCTTTAGACAAATAGCTAACTTGTATATAATAAAAAAAAGTAGGTATTGATAAAGTTAGAAGAAAAGGATAGATAATACTTACTGGTAAAAACAATGACTGGCGGAGATCAGCCATTGTTCTGAGATAAGAGTGGCGCCGCACTGAAAATCTCCATCTCGGTAGAGCGCGGCCTGCCACGGCCAAGCTCCAGCCGCCGCTCCACCGCCACCCACCACCCTGCTCCATCGCACACGCATGCCCACGTTAGATATATTCCTAAAGGCCCCATACATGAAGAAGTCAAACTGCCTCATATTAACTACAGTTTGACGGGATTGTAAATGGCAAATACAGTAAATCGTTTAAATTTAGTCTTACATGTTCTAAATAATTATCACCGTGTCCCTTACCTCTCCTCACTATCTAAGCATACATATATTAGCAATCTGTGCATTGTTGTATATTGGTTTTGTATGGTCAATCATCTAATTGCATTTCTCTAACAAGCAAGGTAGGGGTGAAAGGAATTGTTAGTAATGGGGTCTAACAGGTCCATTTCTAGCAATGTACCCTATCAGGTCGACCTCCACGTGGTCCCCCCTGGAATCCATCGTGATTAATACTCATTAATTTATGATGGGCTAACTGACCTGCTTTCATCCTCACCTATCCTCTCTCACTGGTGCCCCACCAGTGCATATCGATAGCGTAGGCGGGGTTATCATTTCATTCTCACCTATAAAAAAAACAAGCAAGCTATGACGCGTCAGTCCTCAAGAGCCGAAATGCAAATAGACTGCCATGAGTAATACTGGTGTTTCTGAACTTCACATGTATTTATTGTATGTGTCTATAGTAACGGGACAGTTACTTCGAGTGTCAAACAGACCATTTATTTTATTTGACGATACCATGATATTATTATAATTAACTTCTGCTATCAGTTTAGTATAAAAAAGACAAGTCAACATGTTCTTTAATTCTAGGTATATAACAAAATCCCAAAAACTGTAAATCTAAGTCTGTAGCTAGGTATTTATTTATTATTAACTTGTCATCAAATTGTTGTATTTCTTTATTATTACACGTTAGTTATTTGAAATTGTTTCAAAACTAGCATTTATTAATACAAAATTATAAATATAATCACCTTGGTTGTTGAGCGTCAGCATGAGGTCTGATCCCGCAGTCAAGGTCTTTGCAGCGGACGCGCAGCGCCCTCTTGCGTGCACAGCTTGCTCGGCGGAACGTCAGCCGCGAGTCGGAGGCGCGCGCGGCGGTGTTGTGCCACACTTCCCAGTACCCGACTGAACTAGCCTTACGGCCTTCTCGCGCCTCTCTTGCCCAGGGAGAGTCGCTAAAAATAATTGATTGTTTTAATAAGTTTTTATAGGCTTCAATAATTAATTAATTGTATTAATAATTGAGGATAAATATAAGGCATCTTACTGGAATGTCATAGCTCGACAAACAGCTTTGCCAAGGTCCGGTAATTTGAGGGAACTGTGTGCCTGGGATACAACATCTGCAAAACTCTCAACGCAAAGTCTACCCCAGACACCGCGTTTGCGCACCATAACAAAACCTGGTAACAAAAAGTTAATAAAACAAATTTCCAAAATATAATAAAAGGATCTCTTTTTCCTGTAATATTATGTCACTGACCCTCTTCGTTATAAGGAACTACTTCGTTATCTTCTAATTCGTCTGCTAGAGTAACACAGCTTTTCTCATCATCACCAAGTGGACAATCAGGGTTTCCGTCACAAACCTTAGCCATATCAATGCACTGACGAGCATTAGCGCATACATATTGTCCTTCATTACACCAATCTGAAAGAAAAGAGATCAAAATATTTTATTTCACATCTACATACTTACTAATATACTCAATTCTTATAGCGGGTATAAAATGTATAATTATACACACCACATTTATTTTCGTCCGAATAGTCCCAACAATCAACGACACCGTCACAAATCTTAGCTTGCGAGAACTCTGCACGTAAGTAGTCAGCACAAGAACAGGCACGCTCATCTTCACCGTCAGGACAGTCAAGTAAGCGGTTGCAGCGGGAAGTTAGCGATAAACAAGTACCACTGTTGCAACGAAATGATGTTATGTTATTACATTCCTCTGAAACATGCGAAAAATATTTATTACATTATTTTAAAAAGTTGGTCTAAAAATTTAGGTAAATAAAATATTTTATATTATTACCTTCCACATATAGCACATTGTCTTTTTCTTTCTCAGGTTTGTTAAAGTGTGGCTTACTATATGTTTTTTCTGGTTTACTTAAACTATTTTCTTCTTGTTTTACTTTATTGTATGTTTTTGTTAGAATTTTAAATCCAGCTTGATTTAATGTGTAACTGGAAGGAATTGCTTTTGTAGATATTACTCCGCTGGGAGAACGAAATAAAGTATTATTATTGGAATCTGATATTGTAGCCAGGTTAGCTAGTTGTTTTAACTTATCTATAGTTAAGGTATTTGATTGATTAAACGGTATTTCAAGAACTACATCAGGTTCTAGAGCTAATTCATAAGCAGGGAGATTAAGTGTTTTATTTGCCTGTTTACTACTGACACTACCAGTTACGTGGTATGATACTCTATATGTACCGTCAGGTACTTCTGCAGTATTTTTATTCTGTTTATCTTTTGATGTAATATTTTTATTATTACCTGGTGAATTTAAATCATCATTTGATTTAGGAAGTCTGTTGTTACTTGTACTGTTATTAGGAACATCGGTTACTTTTATATTGTCAGTTACAGTTACAAAGGTTACTCGCTCTTCATTTTCTTTTTCATCTATAACAGTAGATGATGTAACAATTTCAGAAATGTCAAAAAATTCACTGGATGATTTAACAATTTCAACATGGTTTTCAGTATTAAATTTATTCATTAAATTTTGTGTTTCAGGATCAGGTCGAAAAAAACTACGTAAGCTTTCTTTTGTAGATTGAGACTCTGGTCTTATTTTTGGTCGTGGCCGTAAAGGGCGATTTACTCCAAGATTGGATTTAGCAGGTAATAATGTAATAACTCCTGTTGTTGTGGCCTGTAATGTCAGTTCATCATCGGGTACAACTTCTACCGATCCTGTCATTTTATTATGACTGTGTCTTTCCTCGATTTCTGAGTTGTGCGATTCTTGTTTTGGTTTTTCTGTTGTATTATGTGTATATTTCTTAATAATGTCAGTCAAATTCTTCAAAATGGATATCTTATTTTGAAATCTGGGTGTTGTATTAGGAAATACAGCATCATTTTTAGTAATTATAGCTTGTAGGGTATCATTATAATACTTTTCAGGAGAAATTTTACTGAAGGTGCTATTTTCATTATTAGTGGAAGTATTAATTAATTCCCATGTATGATGGGGCATGACTGTTGTCGGAATTATGGATACTTTATTATTAGGACGTCTTGTTGAATTTTCTTTAGTAGTATTATTGGTATGAAGTTCTTGAGAAATTTTTGTCGAATTAATATTATGTGTTTCTTTTATTTCAATTGCAGTTTCATTATTGGTTGTATTAGATTTTTGATCTATTGTCCTTTCTGAACTTGTTATAAAGATGTTTACTGGATTAATAGTTGTAGTATTAGAAGGAATGTTATTTATAGTGTTTATGACAGGAGATGTAGTTACATTATTTATCTTTAATATAGATGCCCCTTCTACTGATATTTCTTTAGTGGTGTTATCTTGTTCATTGGGTTTTATTACATTTAACATTGCCAATGTTGTTTTCTCCTTTGGTGGTCTTATCACTGGTTTTCCATCATCATCATCCATGTCTGTTGTTTGTGAAACCTCTACTACCGAACTAATTTTATCTACAGGTAGAGGATGAGGTTTTACGTAGCCGGAACCTAAAGTTTCCATGTTTTTAAGTGGGGGCGCATATGTGGGTAGAGTAAAACTTGTGTAGACAGGACTAGGAACATATACGTGTGCAGCTAAACTGGGATCTACATTATATACATTTCCTGGGCGACGAGTAGTCTTATCACGATGTTTTACTGGAGGTATTGGAGTCAACATACTTTCCAATACCGATATATCTTCAACAACTTCTGCAACTCCTATTCTATCTTCAGCATTTTGATCACTAACTTCGGCTTGTGGAGTGACTTTACTAGTAGTTTCATAATATGGTCTTGTAATAGGACGCCATGGTTCATTATCTATTACATGTGGAACGGTAAATAGTGTATCTATTTTTGGTATATCTTTGTAGTGGTTTTCATTTGTTAAGAGATCAAATAAAATTTGTGATACATTATTTGTAGTCGTCATAATGGCAGTAGTAGTAGGTACAGTAGACGACGATGTAGTTGTCGTCGTCGTCGATTTCTGAATATTGTTATCTGTTTCTCGTTTTGGTGTTGATTCTGTTTTTGTTTTTATATTATAATTAGAAGTAATTGTGAAAGATTTTGGTTTAAGTGTAGTTGTCGGTATTCGTTTAGTTGTCGATATTTTAGTAGTAGATAATTTAGTTGTAGGCGACCTAGTTGTTGTACTCATTTTTCCAGATTGTATTTTATGGTTCTTATCATCATGTCGTATAGGACTAGAATTATGTTTATTTTCTGTTATATCTGCTTCAGTCTTTGTAATTTGAAATGAACCTTGGACGACAGGTATATTTTCAGTATCAATATCTGGCTCATCAGGATCTCCTTTTTTTCCTGGTTTAACAGTAGTTTTTCGCACTACTCCGACTCTTGTTTGAACAGTCTTATCCTTCGCATTCTGTGGTCCAGAGGATTTAGGATAATTTGTTGTCATACTTTCATTCATAGCTTCTTTTACGTAAGACTCAGAATGGTAAGTGTGTTCTAAATCTCTTTTAATAACTATACTGGATGTATCGACTTTTATCGTTTGTCCAAATGCTGGATGTTTCGATAATAAATCTTGAACTAAAATATTCTTTAGAGTTTCTTCTATATTCGCTACGGAACTGAAACATAAATGGTTATATTACAATAGGTATTATTAACATTTTGTGGTGTATTCAATCAACAACATTAAAGCATTTTGAGCAACCAACCTTGGTATTTTTCTTCTATCTAAGTATAATTTAAAATGTACGTCGAGCCGGCGATCCCCAAAGCCAGTGACTAGGGCACCGGCAAATGCCTGACGCAAAGGTGATGGCGCCGCATACACTTGCCGGAGTGCTGCGCCATACCGACGCGCTCTCTCGCGCCACGCCGGGCTGCCAGAGGCACCTCCGTATACGTCTCCATGGGTCACTCGGAGAGTTCCCTCGAAGGACATCATTGCTAATACAAAAAAATTAAAAGTCATTAATTTCATAGAAAAACGACGCAAGTACTTTGTTGTATAAAATCGAAAATATTACTTTCTTATCTATCTTAAACATTTATTGATAAAAAAAATTACGTTATTATTATCATCATAAAAGGCGTTATCTTTCCACTGCTGAACATAGGCCTCCCCATAGACTGCTATTAGGAATGATCTTGAGTAACCTCCATCCACTGACTCTCTGCGATGCATTCCGCCACTCAAGAAATTTTTTTCACATTGGTTGTCGGTCCTTCGACTAGCCCACTGCCACTTCAACTTGTTTATCTTTTGGGCTATGATAGTCTTTTTTTTTTATGCGGATATCCCCATTTCGGATTTTGTCACGCAAAGAAACTGAGCATATGTTTATACCATATTTTTCCAGTCCATGAGTTTGAAGACATGTTTCAATGGAGTTGTGAAAAATTTCGAAGATATGATGTTACCCTGTCTACACCTTTCTGCACTGGGGTGAGTTTTGTACTTTAATTCTATACTCGGATACACATCGTAACCTTACTATATGTTTCAACACTTCGAAGTACCTACATATAGTCAATCTGGCACCGTTTGGAGGGGCTGTAGTACCGCCCATGTCTCTACCGAATCAAAAACATTCTTATAGTTTACAAACGCTAGACATAGTGTTAGATTATACTTTTTGGTTTTCTATATAATCTGCCGTAGCATATGTGGTCTATGATGGTAAAGCCATTTTGGAGACCAGCTTGTCCGGGTGGCTAGAAGTTGACGAGTTTGCGCGTAAGACGATTGCTTGGGACTCTCGAAAACAGTATATAGACGCAGTTCAGAAGGGATATGGGTCTATAGTTCTTTGATAAGGTATTGTCACCCTACTTGATGAATAAGACCACCACACTTCTGGTCCACGCCTCGGGCGTAACACCGTTATGAATATGAATGACGAAATTAAATACCTTCTGAAGAGCTACAAATATCGGTTTTTCACCCGTTCTCAGACTATATGTGAGACAGCTATGTTTATAATTCCGTCTTCCCCTGGTCGCAAAAGAGTAAGGCTTTTTTAAGCTGTTCGAGAGTCATTTCAATCTCGTGCAAACTGACGTCTAATATATCATCGGTAATATCGGGTAACTTTATTTCTTTGGTCATTATTCACATTGATTTGCGGTGTTAACGACGTTGTATTCAGTTGTCCATAAAACTTTTAAATTTCACTCAGAATCTCAGATGTGGCTAAAACTATATAGCACCAGTCTTCAACTTTGTCAGTTGGCTTCGCCCAATAGCCAAATCTTTGGCGAATTCTTTGAAGTTTTGACTTGACGTATACATAAGTGTCGCTAAAGATTAAGATGCCTCCGTACTTTATCATTTAACTGTCATATTTCACCATTTAAGTCGAAATACAACCAAGTGTACATACACGTAGCATCTATATTACACTTACTCATACAACATAATAATTCAACGCAGAATACGAAAAGACGCTTACGTTCTCCATTGTCAGGCCTGAGTGCGCCCATGTAGAAGGCAAGTGCAGCAACCGCCAGCACGGCCACAGCAGCCAGTAGGGCTCCGCCGACCAACGCCGCGGAGCACAGTCCGCTGCTGCGCCCGCCACCGCTATTCGTCCGAGGATACCCCCCACCAGCGAATCGATATTCACTCTGCAGAACAAAATTATGCAATTTATAATCTTGGCTAAATATAAAAATAGATTTGATGGCAAATGATACGATTTCGTACGTGTACAGAATTATATAAACATTTAGATTTTTACCAGTTTATTTACTAAATTCAAAATCATTAATCCAAAGATTTACACCAATCGTTTTTCAACACTTGCTACTTTGGAATACGACTTGGAATTCCAAATTAATGTTAATATTTATAAAATGCTGAATAAACTATATTTTTTATTGTTAAAAAGTCCGGTAAGATTTTTTTTTTATTTTTGCTTTGACCGTGTGAAATGATGAGTGGAATGAAAAGGCAGGTTGGTTAGTCCATCATGAAAAATGCATCGGAAATTAACTACGATGGTTTCCAGGGGAGACCACGGGTCGACCTAACAAGATAATTTGTTAGCATTGGGATCGCTAGCATAGTCCGCATTACTAACAATTCCTGGTAAATAGGTAAATATTTCGATTGTAAGAATTACCGAATTGACTAACTTATTCACACACTACTTTTCTATTTCATTTAATAATATTTATTGATTTATAATTTGGACGTTACTAATCACTTTGTGTGTTAATAAAAGAAAAACCCAATTTAACTCTCTGATGATTGAAAATACTTATAACAAATCAAACTATTCCGAGTGACAGCGGTAGTCGCTACTTGCCATGTAGTTTTCTAATATGTTCGGGGATGTCAAGTGTTACATTCATCACCACCACAGCAACCATAGACTACAAATGCCTCTGACTGACTGACAATAGAATTATTGGATAGTACAGTCGTGAACACATATCGTCATAGTCGTAGAATACTGACAGATCTTTATATGTAATCTTTGTCAGATCCGTCAGTATTCTACGACTATGACGATATGTGTATTTTTTATCCCTAATAACAAATTATATTTTATTGGTATCTAATTTGTTGTTCAATAATTACCTACGTTTATAACTCAACCTTTTACGCATTAGGTTTTTATGTCCCCATTATTGCGTGCGTGATCCATTTTTTATTGTGGATACGTGACATTTATTTTTTTTTGTAATGCCACTCAAGGCTCCAAGATCATCGTGTTGAGAGCAACGGATGGATATCATAAATTATTACTCAATTTCTCATTCTAAAACGAAATTATAATTTATCTTATTATTGTTTATAAAGACAGATGAACATACTTGTAGAACAACTCATATTAGTAGATTTTGAATTAGCTCCAAAATTATGATCGTAAGTAAACATAATTCAGAATTCGTAATCAAAGATCATTCTTATAGTTTAGTTACTAGTATAGTATTGTATTATCTGGGGTTTAGTCATGGATTAACGTAAGGATTGAATAGAATTCTTCGCTTATCTACTAAAGTTCACTAGGTAATTTACTGAGATAAAAAATAGGTAGGTAGTTATTCAATGTTCTATTGCAAGGGCTATGGTGTTATTAAGATAATTATTAACTGTTGTAGATAGTAGTCATTGACATTGTTTTTTACATTATAATGATTATTTTGAAATATATCAAATTATCATTAATTTGGTGATGATGATTACTCATTAATAATGAAGATTAATTATAATGAAGAATGATAAAATTTTAACAAGTGTTCATAATACATTAGTAAATATGTCATAGATTGATTTATATATTTTATATTTACATAATAATAATTATTATTGTAATTCTAAATATTTGTATGTTTTAAATTTCGTACGTTCTGTTATAAACCTAGTACACAGGCATATTATAGCTGAGTTGTAATATCCTTTACTTTGCATCTGAATTAGTAATATTGTGCCTATATAAACTCATACGATTTGTAAATACGGCAGTCGTCATTGATAAATAAATTAAATGAAAGTCTCTGAACTTTTTTATTACGATCTCTACCAATATAGTTACCCATAAGAAAATAGGAATATTCAATATTTCTATATAAATATCTCAAGAAGCCAATTTAATACTTTTCTTGGATCATGTCGAGGCCACAGTTAGCATTTGTTAGTAGTCAGTTCTAAATATAATTGTTGCTAAATTTAAACTTGGGTAAAGCCGATTTCACGCTACATCATCTTAGCAAAAATATTCAATTAGATAAACACGAGTACTTCTAATTAAATAAAATACATGTATAATTAATTTTAATTGGTTATTTGTATTAGTAAAAATGAAATAAATGTAGAAAAAGATTTGTTCAAAATTAAACCGTAATTTCAAAAACTCCGTCAGAGGTCCCATGGTGTAATGGTTAGCACTCTGGACTCTGAATCTGGCAATCCGAGTTCAAATCTCGGTGGGACCTCTTGTTTTTGTAGTATTTCTTTTTATTGTAAACACAAGGTAAACTTTTTGTTATTATAAAGATAATTTCTTTATAAAAATTATAGTTTTTATTTATTTATTTTTTCTATTAAGAGCAACAAAAATTGTTTTTGTCTTCACATTAGGTTTTAATGAAATTCTTTTTAGAATTAGTTGTTTATATTGTACTCTTCTACAAAAAAATATAATCATTTATTGGGTACTATATCAAATTAACCAACATATCATATCAAGTACAGCTCTCTTGACATATTGACCATCACGTTGCAGATACGATAGTGCACATCACGTAAAAAGAACAAATTCGACGTCCATTACACTGACAGATTTTTTTTATTAAATGTCTGACGCTGATATCTCGTACGTGATAACCAGGGGAGCAATAAAGTAATGCAGTTTGGTGAGTTCAACGCCCTTATTACGCAACTGCCCATAGCGATCTGCAATTACATGCCGGATGTGTGGTCGTTGTTTTCGCAAATAAATAAGAAATAATTATAATTACGGCACTCTGCGACCAACTCGGGAGAATATCGGTCCAACTGCCAATTATAAACAATTAAAAGATCGATATAATTATAGCTCATAAACCAACTATATAAACATGTATGATATAGAGACAATGCATTATGAAAATAAATTTAAACGTTATATTAAGTATTTAATATATTACATTAATAAAAAAAAATGCAGCAGCAATTAATAAAGAGGCAAAATTGTGGTGATCTATGGAAAGTGTAATATTTTTTATATTAATTGTATTCGTATAAAACTTAGTTTGTATGAGTTGCTACGTGTATGTATGTAGACAGATCTCGCAAATAGCTCAATTATAAAAACTGAGCACGTTACTGTTAAAATATTTGTCTTGATGTTACAAAATCTATTTATGGATAGCAAGCTGAAAATTGTTAATTTTATATCGGAATGCACCACGGAAGTTTAGTCAAGTCAATTAGACTGTATTGGATCCTATTTTAATGACAAAATTTGATACGCAAAGCATATTTGTGATTGATAATAATGCTGGTGCTTTTTTCTATTACGTTCTTTTTATATTAATCTAAATATCCTTTAGGTGTATCAACAGAAGCTACAGGGTATCAGTTATATTATCCGGTATATTTTTATGTAAAAACGGCAATTTCATGATGATATCAGACAAAGGTTCCGTATTTAATGTATATTTAATTAACCATGATTTATATTTTTAAAAGTCAGTAGCTAATTATCCACAACAAAAGACATAGTAGCTTTTTTGTGAAAGACTCTCTTTTTCGGAGAGTTTGAAAGTTTAATGTGGCCAGATCGTTTCTCCGAGCCACAGTTTCTTCATTCCTAAGTCGATAAAAATACCAAGCTTTTTACGATGACCGCTACCGAAATGCTGTAATTATTCGAATTAAAAAATTACATGCCAACGTTTTGCCTCGTCGACATTTTCTGAAATTTTTCTGAATACAATGTAGCATGTGCACAAACAAGATTGGATAAGTTTTCAGGTTGTTTCTCTATTACTGACGTAAAACTACATAAACAGTAAATTTGTGTTTGTTAATTTGATTGAATATTTGCTTAATATTTTCGCATGATATGCATACCGAAATAACGTATTTATAAAGCTCTTGGAGGTTATGTGAGAATACAAAAGTATAAAGTGGTGCGACTTTGGTAAGAATGGTAAGAAGTATCCTACCATAATCTTATTAATAAATAAGCACTTTTATTTATAAAAAAAAAAAAGACAGTAGATAAGCATTTTGTAATAGTATTGCTGCGGTCCCATGGTGTAATGGTTAGCACTTTGGACTTTGAATCCAACGATCCGAGTTCAAATCTCGGTGGGACCTTTCTAAGGTGGTTTTTTATTTTGCATACATTTAGGCTATTAGGTCATTTATAAAATGTCCCATGTCTACATATCTACGTAACTATCTAAAGAATATAATTTATAGGCACTCGTACTTATGCTGTATTTATTAAATATGTTCATATTATTCATATTCAAATTAAAATGAATAATAATGTTATAACTTCTTCTTTTTCTTCAATGGCAATCGGACGTTATTATACGGCCTTTCTGCCAGCGTCATATATAAGAGGCTCGTAATTTCCCCAGTTCAGGTGTACCTTTAATAAGAATAAGTAATTGTTTCTCTCATGTTATATAAATACACCCAAATTTATATTAAATATATATTTGTATAATTCCCTCCGGTATTTTTTTTCTTTTATTAAGCAAAATAATTATCATTAACTTTGTTATAATTTCGTATATTAGCAATTTTTTTATATTTACAATAATTATATTCTTAATAGTTATTTAATTAAAACTATAATATTTGGAGTAAAGTAGATACTTGTAGTTAAAGCGGTTCTTATTAGAATACCAATTATACATTTACATTACAAAGATATTTATAAAAAGATTAGAACTTATATAAATCAAATTTGGTGTATGCGAAAATGTAACCAAATTAATACGAGTAATTAATTCTACCATAGACAATGTGCTAATGTCTAATAGTAGTAATAATAAAACACCTTTTATTTTTTGATTGAATGTGTCGAGTTGTCATAAATTAAATTTAGAACGTTCCTGTGATAATTTAAACAAAACTTAGGTACCTTTTCATTGTTCTATTGAAATAGACTTCAGGTATA